CTGAACCCTGAACCACTAGACCCTACACCCTTAATTTACTGTGTTTTGGATTCTTTCCAAGGTGGTCTGCATATGTCTGCGATACCAGAGCAACGGCGCGAGTACTGCAGTACTACATCCTGAAGGCTATCCGTGAAAACCTAATCCTAGGAGCCGCATAGTCTTACCACCATGTTTGGGCAAGACAAGCATATAGAGAGCCTTGCAGCACCTATGCCGAATGCGAAGTGCGAAAGAAGCAGCACAAAAGCATCTCCGAAGCTTACATAGAAGCCTTACAGCATCCGTATACAGTCGGTATACAAACCCATTTTGGAACCCTGACCAAACCTTAAATGCAAGGCTCCTTTGACCAAACCTCAGATGCCAGGTCCGTCTCACAGGCCCTCACAGGCACGAAGTGATGCACCCAGGCTTCGCCAGAAAAGGCTCGAACTGCCGAGTTTGGGTTTTGGTGGTCTGAGGGTTCAGGGATTAGGCTTGGGTATAGGGATTTCGATTTAAAACGGTTGGCCCGCCATCGGATCTTCCAACTTTGCGCTTTCGCTAAGAAGGCTTCCGCTACACAACACACACAGAATTCAATGTCTGGACGCTTTGGTTTGGTGTTGCGGACCTGCTGAGGGGCTGGAACATTCATCATGGAGCCTGTTATCGAATCCTGGCACTTGCGACAAAGCAAATATGTAAGCACGAGCATCACCCAACAAAGAACTGTTATACGTTCCCTGGGATTCGACCACGACGCCCAGCAGACGGCGCAGTTCTGTAAAAAAAGCTCATGCAGTGAGGCAGCCCCCGATCTCGCAATACTGCCTGGAAACTGCTATACCCGCGACAGAGACCTTGATGTCGAAAACTTCTATCCGAAATTGAACTAAGTCGACAACCTTACACTGTACTGAGACCTTTCTACCTGAAAGGCAAAAACTGCAACTACGAAGAGCTGTGTTTGCTGAGCCTGACCTTTTAGACCCCAAGCCCTAAACCCGAAACTCGTGAGGCGTTCCGGACTGTCTATGCCTGCTCGTTGCACGAGCACCGCGTTTGCACCAGGTAGCGCCACGTTAAAACAACCTGAGACACCCCCATGGTGGACTACAAGAGCAGTTCGGTATCGGTCATGTCGGGTTTCCTACGGAGCTAGTATGGCGTTAGAAAAGGCTCTATCGGGTTTTAGTGGTTCAGAGCTCTACACTGTGCGGATTAGGAGTTAGGGCACTGTGTTGGGCTAAGGGTCAAAGCTATGCGGCTGGTGAGGGGATCTCTAGTCTCCTTCTAGGTCTCAATACGGCTGATGATATAAGTCCTGCATTACCCATAATGGGGACTATACCATAATTCCCATAGTTTAGGGTACTTGAGGTACGTAATGCAGGTTTTATATCATCAACCGTATGTCACAGGCCCTGGAAAAGCTTCCCAAACCCAGCACGATACTCTGGACAAGGGTTTCGGCTTTACCTTTTTCACCCCGAATAACCTGCCTTTTTTAGGACTGATAGAACAAACTCATAATCAGGAACCCTAAAAGGAAGGTTTTACAGGTCCAGGTACAGCTTAGCGAGTCGGTCCACATGGCACGGGAGTTAGAGTAAGCACAGTGGTGCAGTGCAAGGATGACAAGACTTGCTTTAGTATGAAACCGGACCGAATCCGTGAACATGACAGCAATATTTTGTTTGCAGTGAGGAGTCTCATAATAACGAACGGACAACGGCAGCCATGAGCACAGTCAGATGAATAGTCGCAGCCTGTCAGCCCTACTCCTTCAAACCTCACTAACACAGTTGCACCCATCAGTTTTGTACTCACACCTGCATGTAGATCTATATCTAAATCTAAACCTTTAGCTGTATCTACCTATCTATCAATCTAACGATGCACGACAGCCAAACCGCCGGTCAGCCAGTCAGCCAGCCAGCCAGCGAGCCGGACCGACAACCGGACATGCAAGCATACATACATAGATACATATAGGTACATACTTACACACATGCATGCATGCATGCATACATACACATATACAATATACATGTATACAGACAGACAGACAGACAGACAGACAGACAGACGGACAGACAGACAGACAGACAGACAGACAGACAGACAGACAGACAGACAGACAGACAAACACACACCCACACACGTACATGCAAACAAGCCAACAAACAAACAGACATACGTCCGTACATACAGCCATATGTACATATGTACCGGCATACGTTCATACCTGCATAGCTACATACCTCCATACACAAACTTATACACATACATATTATATTCACATGCATACACATACATGCACATATTATGCTGTGCACATATGGATATACATATGCGTAGACATACACAGATACATATGCATATACAGACGCAAATAGATGACTCTTTGCATTCACATGCATATACGTATTACATGTACGCATACATATGCATGTGCATATACATACACGTGAACACATACACAGGTTTAAATATTCGCATGCACATACACATGCACACACATACGCATATGTACAGAAGCACATACATACATTGAAAACAAGCATACCTACATACAAGGATACATAAGCCTGTATTTGAACATCGATACCAACATTTACATCTACATTTACATGTACA